CCACAGGAGAAAGTAATTGTACGCTTCTTTTTTTTTTCGTCTTTTACGGCTCGGACGCCCAAACCTTTCGCTATGAAAAGGGAACTATCGTGTTAGAGGCTATAGATAGAAAAGGGTGCTTGATGATAGTTCTGTCAAGAACGAGTTTTCGATACACCGAGAAAGCTAAATGATTAGAGAGATCGTATCTACACGCGTGTAAGAAGGCGATAATACGAGTCACGATAAATCTTTTCCTATTCCCTCGAAATCAATAATCTTTATTAATAAATCATATCGATATACTTTTATCCTTAATTTTCTTCGATCTCGATATTTCTCGAACGTACTTTAATCATTATCTCACTTTTCGTACCACGACAACAATCACAACAACACTTCAATCTCCGTCAACATTCCAGCAACAATCGTATAAAGATAATTAACCGATCGACACCCGGATCGAATCGGTTCAATTCGTTTCATTTAAAAGAAACGCGATCGTCGTGTTCTGTGACCAGGAAACCGGTCCATCCTCCGCAAGAGCAACCACCGATCGTGATCGACCGTTACGATCCATCGTGGTGTTAGATCTGTTCGCTCGTGCCGAGGTGTGGCCCCAAGAAACCACGGTGGTTGCGGTGTATCGGCTTATGTAACAGGTTTTACATGGCCGTGGCGTTCGGACGACCGCTGTAGTAAAGCGCGAGCTTCGGTGCCGTGGATCGTTCCTTTTTCAATCGCACCTGAACGTACGGTTACCGCGCAGTTGCGGTTTCGCCACCAAGGATCTGGAAATGATGGATAATGGCCAGGAAAAGGACAACCATTGTTTACTGGCTTCTGTTCTGTCTCCTTGAGGAGTACTATGTGACTCCGTTACAATCTACTTTCTCTTTTTATTTAGCAAAATATTTATCGATTAATGGTAAATACGAAGTTGATTTTGATTAAATTTCGAATGAACGACTTCTGACAGAAACGCTTATCGATTGCAATTCTCCCCGGAAACCCGAGTCGGCGAGTTATTTATCCGGCAGCGGTGTCGACGCGAGATTATCTCGCCATATTTTCTCTTTAACGAACGCGTATATAGTTTTCCACGATTTATAAAACGAACACGATCCACGGAAGTAAGCTGTTTCTCCACGGGAATCGCGATTGGAGCGTGGTTCGAGGCAATCGTTGACTCGCGTAATCGGACGCTCCGCCATATAATACTCGTGAAACTAACGTGGACCACTCGAACCTGCGCTCTCCTCGTTTCCTCGTGGCTCGATCGTGGAAAGCGCGATTGAAAGAGAGGCACGAGTGAAAGTGGGTACGATTCGAGGAAGCATCGACAAGCGGTGAAATAGAGGAGACATTGAATTGAAAATATTCTCTCCCATTTCTTCGATCATGATTTCTTTTCCAATTCTTATTGATTGATATTTGAAATTTGAAATCGAAGTTTCCGGTTTTAAAGGTTCGTTGCTTAAAAAGGTTCTTTGAAATCTTTCGGCTGAATGATGAATAGAAATTAATATTGAAAGTACAAGCGTCAAACTGTTCTTCAAACATCCGATAATCGATATCGTATTTCATGATTCACCTTTCATTGCAAGAACAAATATCGTACAGTTTCTAAATCAATATTCGAATCCTCGTTAACGTCCTCTTCGATATCTAATCTATCGAAATAGAGCATTAATCATTCTGTCGCATAATGACAGAAGCGAAATCACCACCGTGATTAACTCTCCCAAATTCCCAAATTACGAATAGATCGCGCCATCGAAATAATTTAAACAATTAAAATTAACCAAATATAATTAATTAACTGTTAAAATAACTCGCTTGGAAAACTTTTAAACTTTATATCTCGTGATATATATATTCTTACGATCCTTATACAAATCCAAATTACAAACCGAAATAATTCTCCATCCAACAATCCAAAGCTGTATATCTATTTCTCAGCAATCTCTAAAGAAGTTGAAAATCCTGTGTAAATCTAAAGAGGGATAGAAAATAAATACACGGTCGAAACATTGATTCCACGTGGATTTTTCAAGGATAGACTTACACAGATCACCGGGAAGCGATCCTCTGGAAAAGGGAGGGCGATGGATTAAGCGAGTGGCTGTAAAAAAGGCCAAGCAACGTTTGGAGAAAGCGGAGAATTGGCGATGGAAGAGATTTGTGGCTGGGCGGTTTACCACTATTGAGAGGAGGAAGAAGAAGGAAAGGAAGAAGATTCACCATGTATCGTCTCTTCGCGAGGAAAAAGCGATCGCGACTTCAAAATGTGTACGAGAAAAAGAAGAAGAAGAAAAAGAAGAAAAATAGAGAGACTCGATCGGAGAGAAGAAGAACGAGCTGGCGAGAAGAAGAAACTTTGATCGTTTTCACGGAGAAAAAGTTTATTGTTCACGTGTCGTGAACGGGTCGTAATGATCTCAACCTATTAACACTTACGTACGTGTATTCGTTTTTAGCGTTCGAGTTCCACGCGTGTTTCGAATCGATCGCGCGTTAATCTCGGTTTAACGACTCTTAACCGTGGAAAATGGAGAAAAGCGAATTTTGGATACGTCACGAGTGATTAATCTCGAAAATTTAGATGGAAAATAATTTTGATGGAGAGAAAATACGCGTCTCCCTTCACTTGGAAAATCATGAAATAAGTTGTAAGCTCCAGGTGCGCGAACCACACATAATCTCGCTGGAAAACTTTCTTCCAAGGCCGCTTCGTATATTTCGTGGATTATAAAAGATACGACTAACTCCTGAGTCGTATCTCTTCCCTTTTGAAGATCTAAGAACCAAGTTCTTGGAGAAAGTTTTTTCGACAAAAAAAGTCTCGCATTTAAACATTTCCAGCCGGCCTTAAATTTTAAATTACAAACGTATAAGTTGCACTCTAATCTAATCAATTCTCTCCCCGTGAAACTTCCCTCCTACAATAAAACCCTACTTTTGATTACCTACGAATCCCTTACGAAACTTCTTCCCATCCTCCCCTGTTTCCTTAAAAAAAAAGAAAAAACTGGACAAGAGTGAGCTTAGTCGTAAAAAGGAAAAAAAAGGACCCTTCTTCTCGCGCTAGACTTTCTCTCTTCTCTCCTTTTTTCCGCTCGAAGACGCGCTCGATTGTGCCCTCGAGGACGCGATCCAAAGGGCGGCCGTTGAGTAATCACGCTGCACTCTTTCTCCCCTTCGCGCGTGCCAGACGCCGGATTCGAATATGCAAAATACTCGGCCCCAGGTTTCTAAACAATTTGGAAAACGCGAGGCGAGGCGAGGCGCGACGCAACAATTGAAACGAGACGACGTTTCGAGTACAATGAATTATACCACCGTTGAGGAGAGAAGAGGGGTGAGAGTTTGAATGGAGCACACAGGGTGGAAGGCGCGAATTGGGATTAATTCTTGGGGATTGAACGAACGAGCGACGCTCGGAGGATCGCTCCGGGTTAACGTTAATTGTCCTGCATAAAGCGCCGCTGTTTTGCTCTCGTTCCTGTTTTCTCACTCGATACTCGAGTTGCTACTCTCGACCAATGGCACAACCTCCTTTCAACTTTTCGTTTCTTCCCCTCCCCTTTTTCGAGCAGCACTTTTATCTTCTTCCTTTCGACGGGGGGAGCTGATTTTTGTGCCTCTAAGTCAATTATCGCTTTCCCCCCTTTCTTTAAAGAGGCTTCCAGTTTTCTCTTCTTCCATTTCGATGATGGATCGTTTTCTTTCCTTGGTTAAAAATTTCACGGGAAAATCTTTCGATCGGGTCGCGAAAACAGGAAAACACGTATGCAAAACAGGAAAAAATTATACGCAGCAACTCGTTGGATTTTACATCGGGTAAAGTAAAGGGAAATATATGTATGTATATATATATATATATATATATATATGTTTCGAGATAAAACGCGCGAGATGAATATTTTTGCATGCGCGATACGAAGAATTTACATTATTCTCGTATAAATATAATAGTTGAGCCGAGCACGAGTTCTCGGTTTATCAAACCGAAAGATTCTGATTTCGCGCAAAAGGGTGGAAGCGAGACGGGAAATAATGAATAGCGTCGCAATTTCCGTGGACGAATAAACGAAAAAACTCGAGAGGGAAGAAAAAAAAAAAAAAAAGAAAAGGAAAAAAGTAACCACGCAAGCAATTTGCACCTTGTAATCGCGGTAACGGTGCTGGTAATTAGCGCGGCTTCGTATGCAGCACCGGAGGAAACATTCCGTCCGCAATACCAAGCGAATACGTCCGCGATGCAACAATTTCCTCCTCTCTAACCAACTTTTGTTGCTTTCAACCGTTTCTTCTCCTCATTTTATTCTTTAATATTTCTCATCGAATATATCAATATATCGTCGTTATCGACGCTCGTTTAATCAAAGTCGATCGGAAAAAGCGTCGATTTTCAAACGCGTTCCTCAGGAAATTACTGAAAAATTACTCGATCGTGGAAAATTTTCGACGACGACGAAGAAGAGGAAGAAGAAGAAGATTAAATCGCTGACAGAATTTGAAGCGAGAGGCGCAATAGGATCTCGAGGAGGATGATGATGGACGATCGTGGTGCGTAATCGGAAGCCAATCCTCCTCCTCCTCCTCCTCCTCCTCCTCGGTCCAGCTTCTCTTCTCTCAAGGTGATAAATGCCAGCTCCATCGTCCCAGCCTGGCGACAATTGGTCGCGGTGACGACTCTTTCCATTTTCCATTGCTCTTCCCTCCTCATCTCCTCTCTTATCCCTCATATCTCGACCTTCGTCTCCGTCAAATTCTCGAGCAGCAGACTTCTGCTCGACGATGAAACAGAAGGGAAATCCCGTCACGCGCCATCTGCTCCCAGTCTTCCGCTTCTTCTCTCCGATCGCTCTTTCGATCTCGCGATTGCCAATCTTCTTCGAGGACGGAGAATTAACCTGCTCGATTTCTTCCTCCTTCCATGCGATTCGTATTGATATATATTAGACAAATAAGTCTAATATTAATTATGCAAATAAATTCTTTCTCCCTTTTTTTTCCCAAATTCCAGATTTTATTATATTATGTATCCTTCTAGAAGCGTAAACGATATAGAAAGACGTGGAAAGGGAACACGCCGCTTCTTCTCGCGTTTGGAAACGGGACAGAAGGCGAATCCTCGATGATAGAATCGTTGCCTTGGAAATATAGAAGAGCGTAGAATTCGAAGGGAGAAGAGATAAGTTCTTTCCCCTTCTTTTTTCCAAATTCGAGAATTTTATTACGTTATGTATTCTCCTAGGCGCGGCTGCGATACAAAAGGACGCGGAAACGGAACACACTGCTTCTTCTCGCGTTTGGAAACGGGACAGAAGGCGAATCCTCGATGATAGAATCGTTGCCTTGGAAATATAGAAGAGCGTAGAATTCGAAGGGACAAGGGATAAGTTCTTTCCCCTTCTTTTTCCAAATTCGAGATTTTAATTAAATACGTAAATCAGATAGATAGATGTCTCGCGCCTCACGATCTTTCCAATTCTTCTCGCGTCTGAATAGGATTTTTGTCGAGCGTTTCCTTCGATTCGCCTCCTCGTCGAACTTTCTCGATGCACTCGAACGGTCCTCGTCTTCCGAATTAAAATTTCCGGATTTAAATCTTTGCTACAAATTTTTTCGCGATTCGTGAGATAGAATGTTCTCTCTCAGTGCACAAACCGTTTCCATAGCTTCAATATTTTATTTCTTAAACTGGAACAGACGCAAAAATGACGCTCAAAATTGTCATATAATTGTCACAGCTCGTCGCGACTCTTCTTAAAGACGAAAGAACGTCTTTTCGTGATCAGGTGGATCACGAACTAGAAGTAATTCGAATTCGATCAAATAAAGTAGAAAAAAAGGGGGAGGAAGTTATTTGCACGTCTAATATTTAACACGTTGACTGCCGCATTCGGGTAGCTTATTTGACTATTTACGAAGAATCTTCATAGATATTTGGAAAGATATTGCACAGGCATGTAATAAAATTATCGAATTATTATAAAAATAATACAAAAATAGTTTATCAAAAGAATTATTTAGAACGTAAAACTTTAAAATATTCTATACAAAGCTGAGACAATTTGGACAAAAATTATTGTCCGCTATATGATTCACTAGACAATATTCTTCCATTTTCCAGTTTCGACATTTGAATGAATTAGAACAGAAATTTTAACACCACTCGTTACTCGGCAAACGTTCGAGCTGTTCGTGTAGAGTGACGAGGTGACCTCAATTGAGGACCTCAGCAATGTAACGATGGAAACAAATGATGCGACAGATTATTAGCGATTACAGCAGAGTACAGAGTACAGAGCTTGATACAGCCCGAAGAAGATTTCGTTGGAAACGAAGTCAAGAGAGAGCTATCCTAATCTCGCTAAGTACAATATCCAGTTTAAGGGCACGATCTTCCATTTTCCTTGAGAGACCCTCGTATCGCGATCACCTGTACACAAAGCGGCAAAGATCCTTGGACGATGGTGGATCCGCCAAGGTAGCTGCGCGGCGCGGAATAATTTAATTAGCGAGCGTAGGAGAAGCGAAGTGGCAGGACTTATCCCGTGGGTTTAATAGCTGCCTCTTCCCCGTTTCCGACTCTTGCCTCCCGCGGGACCCACCTCTCCCCTGTCCGTGTTCAAAACACGCGCTGGCAATTCCCGCGCTGCCCGTACGAGAGCCTGGAAAAGCCCGGAGTGTTGGTCGCCGCCAGAACTCGCCTCGTTTTAATGAATTAATTAAGCGTTATTTTGCTTAACTGCCCGACTCCTCCTCGTTCGCACGATCCGTCTCCACGAATCCGTGACACTCGCAACAATTCTCGAATATTTTCTTTCGAATGTCAGAGAAGAATTTTCCAACGAAAATGGCGGGGGAATCGAAGGATAAACCTGTTAAATCGCCGTGGCCTTCGTGAAAATTTCGTCTCCCTTCGAAGGAGAGGAGAATCGCGGAGACGTTGTTCGCTTTTTGCCTCCATCTTGTTTCCGAAACTGTAGAAAGGGGGCAGGAAGGGAACTTTTATATATCGCCGCAAATTGCTCGAGGCCGGCCGTCCCTCCCTCCCCATCGGTCGATGGTTACTTTTTAATTAAAAGTTTCGGCTCTAAAGCCGTAGCCAGAGCCGTAGTCGAGGCCAAAGGGACAAATTGGATCGAGGTGGGCCGGCGTTCGCGACACCGAGCCGCGCGAGACAATCGAAAATGGAAGACAAGCCGAGCACGCATCCAACGGCTGCAACGTGAAAGCATTTCTTTGTCACCTGCTCTCGTCTCCACGCGATTCTACGCGAACTTGGCGAGGGGTGAATGCATTTTTTCTTCTTTTTTCTCGCTTTCGTATCGACTTTCCGTTTCGAGCGAACGAAAGGTAAGGGCGAGAACAGGTCGAGTATAATAAAATTATCGTGGTGTAACATACAATGGGAATGAAGCAATCGCCAACACACCTCGGTGTGTTATATTTGCAATTACTATCCATTACGCTCGTTCATCGCATTCCAACCTCCTTATTGTTCCCCAACGATTCGACTTTTATTATACTACGTACTCGTAAAATGCAATCTATTTTTCCATCCATGGATTTTTATCCACTTCGAAGAATCGTTTCTTTCGTTTGTTTCCTTCCAACGGAGGGCGAATAATTTTTAGTTAGAGATAATCAATGGAGCGGATCGAAGGGGGTACTCGCGTTGGGTGCCCCGTCTCCAAGAATGAAAAAAGAAAAAATATTGGAGCATGGTTTTCTGCGACTGGCCGTCGAGAAGGGGCCCGGTCTTCCTTTTACGACGTGACTTGGCTCGACGACACGCGGCCCATTAGCATATTCTTCATTCTGCGCCCGACAGAAGCTCTCTTTTTCTCTCTCTCTCTTTCTCCCCCTCGAGTGTCTTGTCATCGGATTTCGAGAACAGAAACGTCCGGGTTCTTTGTGCGCTTCGTTCCCTGTACTTCGTCGACCGATCGGTGGCCATTTTTGGAAAAGGATCGGGGTACAAAGAGGTGGAAGAAAGAACGCGTGGGACAGTGGTGGGCAAAATTTAGTAGTTGAAGTTACTTCGATAATATTATCGTGCCACATAATCGCGAATAATTGTCAAACGGTCGAGATTATACGAAAAACGGATTTGCTATAATGGCTGCGAATAAATTATTATTGAATAAGTAACTTTATTCGAAATTTTTAACTAGTCACTTTTTCAACGGATTAATTCCCAACTCTGAATAAAGATCGTCCATTTTGGATTAATACACGTGACGAATACCATGGTAGAAATAAAAATACGCGTATAAAAATAAGCATTTTCCTCCAAATTAACCAATCAGAACCGCGTTCCTTTCGCGAGACTTCTTTTCACTCAGTGATGGATAAAATTTAATGATCGAACTCACGAATAAAATTACTTCGATAATTTATCGTTCGACGTAATAATAATCGCGAATAAATTGTCAAAACGGTTATACGAAAAACGGATCTGCTACAATGGCTACGAATAAATTATTATTGAATAAGTAACTTTACTCGAAATTTGTAACTAGTTTTTCAACGGGTTAATGCCCAACTCAGACGCGGGAGGATTTTCTCCACGAATTTCCTTCAAAATTCCATTCATTCCATAGTATATAATCCAACCTCGAAGCTCGAAAGTTCGAAGTCCGTGGCTCCGGGGATCGATACGCGCGGAGAGGAGGGGAGCGACAATGATCGTTGCAACCACCCACGCGAGATTGGAAAGAACGCGATGCGCGAGGCAACTATCCCGAAGCAACAGGCCGATAATTGCGTACACGAAACCGCGAAGAACAGAGCGGCGAGAGAAGGAGAAGGGTCGTTTGTCAGCGGGAAATAGAACGGTCGATTCGATCGGACTGTTCTAACGAGGCCTCCTCTCGTTATTGTGCCGTCCCCGTCGATCTTTCTCGCCCCGGCTCGTTTTCGATCGCCTAATTAAACCGGACTTCAGGCTTCGCCTTCCACTCGAGACCAATAAAGGCCGAACCAAAACGTGCGTTTTTTCTCTTTCCCTCTCCTCCCCCCTCTCTGTTCGCGAGCCACGCGATCGATGGCGAACGGCCGCC